TGTGTGTTGTTCTGAAGTGCATTTAAAACACGGGAGGGCATGGTGCTTCCTGCCAGAGAGCAGCTCGGCCCCTCATTTGAGAATATTGACCAATCGCAGCAGCGTGTTTTACACTAACCAACCAGAGGAGTCTGCCTGTTGCTGTCTTTACCAAGTCCTGCTGGTGATGCTTTGCATTGCTGGGACAGGCTGAAACTTTTGTCTGCAGTTGCTCTGCTTCGACATCTGCAGTGTTGTTGTTTTCAGATGAACAGAATCAACTTTTTGGGATTTGCTTACCTGGATTATTGAGCAAACATCAAGACTAACAGTTTGTTGCAACTAATCCTCTGAGCGACGGCGGTTATTCATCCTGTGCGGTGTGTTATCCATCCAGGTCTTGCTGAAGGTGGTGGACCAGTACCGACAGAAGCAGTATGTTACTCCTCAGGTCCTACAGCAGTGCCTCAACTACCTCAACCAGGGTCTGTCACACTCACTGACCTGGAAACAGATGAAGCCGCACATGCAGGTAGGACATGCATGAAGGAATATGATCTTTACCTGTTCCTGATTGGACCAGACCCTCTTATTCAGTTTAGAGCGATCTGAATTTAGTTTCACCAAATACTTAAAGGTACTATTCCACCAGAAATGTCAGGAACTTTAGAGAGGGGTCCTTCTGACTCAGTTCAAAGTTGACTTTAATAAAGAGTAACAAATGGATGCTGACTGAAAGTTTTTCTGTCTGTGATTTCATCATTTAATCAATCATAGAGTTACAAATTTCTGCTTTTTCCACTCTGGTCATTTTTATTGTCTGTTTATTTTAATAAAGCCAGTCTTATTTTTCCCTCTTGAATCATCTTTAATCTCATTAATATTATGAAGACTATTGTTTCATGTAGACCATATGCCAGGAGGTCATCTTCCCTCTTATGTGCTACAAAGACGAGGACGAGAAACTATGGCAAGAGGATCCATATGAGTATATCCGTATGAAGTTCAGTAAGTGTTCAAGTATCCTGGTATTAGGCTTGTAATGATACTAGAATTTTAGTCTTGAGTTACTTCTCCACACTCTGGAGTAGGGATGGGTATCGTTTAAGTTTTATCCGATGCCAAACCGGTACTTTTGAAACGGTGCCGGTGCTTAAACGGTGCT